TCAACCACATAAATCAAAGAACCATGTTTGAACTAAATTTGTTTTTTGGTTATACACTATGATGTAGAAAACAAGGTAATTTTATTTGTGTCACTATTATTGATTTTCTGTGTGGGAGAAAGATAATGGCACCAAATGTCATCATATCAGCTGAGGCAGGTATTTGATTCAGGAACAAGCAAGGCATTTCCTTCCTAACAGGGTTTTGCTGTTAAATGGGGTCTTTATTGTCACTGCAAAAAAAGACCAAGGTACCCAACTTCTCAATCCATATAAAGTTTTTAAAGACTGAGTAATAATAATAATTGCAGGTAATACTTATATAGTACTTACTATGTATCAGGCACTGTTCTAAGTGCTCTGTAGATATTAAGTCATTTCATCCTCTCAATAACTTCATGCATAGTTACTATTATTATCCCTGCTTTATAGATGAGCAAATGTGTTGTGTTGTCCAAGATCAGGAGGAGGTAACTGGGAGGGCTAAGATAAGAATACAGGCAGTCTGGGCCCAGGGGCCATGCTCTTAACCATCATACTATGCTGTCCCCTTGATCTTGCAGTCACATGCAGGATGGCAAACAGTACGGGGAAAGGAGTGGAAATGCGGGCTCCTTAGCCTATTACCAACGAGTTTAGGCACATGCTTCTGAGGACCTGTACTATGCAGTGAAATAGAAAAAAAAAAAAAAAAAGAAGGGATGATGACTAAAAGGAGGCACAAGGGAGGTTTCTGGAGAACTAGTCTGTTTCTTGATTTGGCTGCTGGTTATGTGGATGTGTTTGGTTTGTGAATTCTCATCGAGCTGTACTTTTTATATACATATTTTCATAAATAAAAAGTTAAAAGATGAAAGGATGGATTTAAGAGGATTTGGGCAATATGAATGGCTTTTGCCCTCCTTTATTTTCCAAATGTTCCAGAACGCCCAAGCAAGGCATCATGGAGCCTGGAGGCCATGTGCACAAATGTAGCCATCCATGCAGATGATTCTCAAATCTCACTGTCCAGGGCCGGCCCGTGGCTTGGTGGTTAAGTGCGCGCGCTCTGCTGCTGGCGGCCCAGGTTCGGATCCTGGGCGTGCACTGAGGCACCGCTTCTCCCGCCATGCTGAGGCCGAGTCCCACATACAGCAACTAGAAGGATGTGCAGCTATGACATACAACTATCTACTGAGGCTTTGGGGGGAAAAAAATAAATAAATAAAATCTTAAAAAAAAAAAAAAAACTCACTGTCCAGCCTGAGCCATCAGCAGCCCAGATGTCAACTGAGCTACAGGCAACATGGCATCACGGTTAAGAGAGCGGCATTAAGAGCTACAACGCCTGGGTTCAGATGTGGCCTTTGCAGCTACTAGATGTGTGATCTTGAATATGCTACTTCACCTCTCCGTATTGTCTTGCTTTCTGCAACTGTAAAGCTGGTATAACATACTGCCTAACTCACAGAGCTTTACTGCATGTTAAATCAGCACTACAATCATGCCTGGCAGAGAGAACACACTACTAAATATTAGCTCTTATCCGCACCATTTAGGCCCATAGCTATGGTTGCCTATCTTACATCAGTTACCCATTATCATTTTCCCATTATTTATTCCCTGCCATGTTCCAAAAAGAATTTCAGGTAAATTTGTTTTAGCTATTATTTAAGTAGTACAATCATATTACAGGAATTCTGGCAAACAGAAAATCAAGTATTATACTTTTAGAAGTATAGTCATCCTGCCGCTACTGTGAAATGCCTGAAGTGGTCGGCAGGCACAAACTGTAGCCATCACATTAGAGGCACCATAAAAGGGGCCACTGGTGCAGAAGGGATTATGGAGCACACGCCAGGCAATGTACACTCAGGAAACAGCCATAACTTTTTATTTTGAGAATTCTCGATCCCATAGAAAAGTTAGAAGGACAGCACGATGAATACCCATATACCCTTCACCTCGATTCACCAGTTGGTGACATTTTGCCACATTTGCTTTCTCTTCTTTCTCTCTCTCTCACACAGACACTTAATTTTTTTGCTGAATCATTCAAAAATTAAGTCACAGACATCATGTCATTTTATTCATAAATTCTTCAGCTTTGATCTCCTAAGAACAAGGACATTATCCTACATAACCATAATACCATATCACACCCAAGGAATTTCAGTTTCACTGTTATCTAAAATACAGTCTATATTTATATTTTTCCAATTGCCCTAAAAATGACTTTTTTTTCATTTCAGGATCCAATCAAGGATCATAAGTGCATTTAAACTGTCATGTTTCCTTTAATGTAGGACAGCCCCCGCCCTCTTCCTTTTTATATCTTTCACAGCACTGACATTTTTGAAGAGTCCAGGCAGCCGTCTTGTGAAATGTCCCACAATATGGACTTGTCTGACTGTTTGCTCATGATTTAATTCAGGTGAAACATTTTTGGAAAAGTGCTACATAGTTGATGTTTTATACTTCACACTGCAATACCTGAGGAAGTACATAATAATAATTTGTTCCATTATTGGTGTTGCTATTTTTGATCATTTGGTTAAGGTGATGTCCACTCAAATCTTTGCATTGTAAAGGTATTCTTTTTCTCTTTGTAATAAAAGTAACCTGTGGGGGATTCTTTGAGAGTCTTCGTGAATATCTTATTCCCCAACAATCTTTTTATCCAATGGTTTTAGCATCTGTTGATAATCTGCCTGAATCAATGGGCACATTAGTGTTGCAAAACAGTCACTAGTGATGCTTACAGTATGGGTGAAATGAACCCTTGCAAATCAAATCCTATTTTTCCAGTCACTTGCATTATTATTTCAGAACTATAATATCAGAACTATTTCAGAAGTTCATCTGCTTGACTCCATCTGACAGTGACTCATAACACCTCTTTTACATTCCTCTGATCTCTATCCACCTGAGCAGGTACATTAAGTAGAAACAAGCATATAAATGCATTGGCTTAAGCAGTGGGCAAGAAGTTACCTATCTATACAAGCAAGAGGCTTCCTAGTCTTTAGAGCCTCCTTTCCCATAACAGATCAAATTCCACACTGAGAAAAGTTTATTTTCCCAAAGACAGTTCTATATTGGAGTCAGCTTCAGGCATCCCAAGAGGGGAGAAAGGGGGACACAAAGGGTTCAGGCAGTAGACTCCTGGAACAATTTTAAAAGATTGTGCAAACCACACTAGGAAAATACCAAATCACATGGGCCAGCTGCTTCAGGCAGCCTGCTTCCCCTGCCCCTGTGAATGTTACTTCTTCCTGGTCAACAGTCTGTTAGAGCCCAAATACCATCCCAGATCAGCTGCATTAGAATCCCCTGGGAAGCTAGTTAAGAAACATGCCCTGGTCCCACCTCTGGCCAACTGAATCAGAGCCCTGCAGAGGGTATTGGGAATCAGTGTGTTGACAAGCTTCCCAGGGGATCTCATGAGCAGCTAGGTTTGGGAACCCTTGCTTAGAGAAGACCCATTGTAGCCTCCAAAAGGGGACTATCCCACAGACACATAATGGTAGATGGTAGCTAAGGAACAGTCTCATTACATGACAGCCACCCTGCCAACATCTGATTCTCAGGGGTCTCGAATGAGGGCAGAAGGGTTCAACTTAGAGGATCTATTGCATTCCCAATTTATAACCTACTCAGGGCTGAAAAAAAAGTCACTGTATTTAGAAAAGCTGCCAGATCTATGGTTCCCCAAATTGAGTCTCTACAAGAAGCATCTGGGAAGATCACCCCAAAGACTCAAAGTCAGAGATCTCCTGTGGGACCCAGGAATATGCGTTTGCAAAGCTCTCTAGGGCCAGCCCCGTGGCTTAGCGGTTAAGTGCGCGCACTCCGCTGCTGGCGGCCCGGGTTCGGATCCCAGGCACGCACCAACGCACCACTTCTCCGGCCATGCTGAGGCCGCGTCCCACATACAGCAACTAGAAGGATGTGCAACTATGACATACAACTATCTACTGGGGCTTTGGGGGAAAAAATAAATAAATAAAATTATAAAAAAAAAAAAAAAAAAGCTCTCTAGGTGCTTCTGATGCAGGGGGTCCGAGGACCACACTTTGAGGGACCCACCTAGATGTCACTTTGCCCTTGTTTATAGCAGTCAAAGAGCAAAAGAGTTGGATAAAAGTGTCTTGGCCTTCATTTGAAGGCTACTTACCACACCAAAGAAATAAAATCTGAGGTCATATGGGAAATGTTTCTGAGCAATTAATTAGCCACATAAACATTCAGATGATATGAAACCTTCCATAAAAGGTACTAAAAGTTGCTCCAACATTTCATCCCACTGGAGGACTATAGGCAGGCTGAGCCAAGAGTGACAGACCAAGGCTCCCAGCACAAAGCCCCAACTTCAGGTTCCATATTAGCAGTCTCTAGAGGGGCACCAGGAGCACAGGGCCATCCCCTGGTGGGCACTTGAATCATCTGAATCAAACAATATTTCTGACTGTTAAGGTCCTGCCTGATTCCAGCTTCCCCTTGACACTGTGAGGGAGCAAGCTCCTGGCAATCCTTTCTCTCTCTCTCTACCCCACTCTCTACTGTTAATCCAAGGCTCAGCCAAGATTAACACATGTGCTTGTGGCCCCAGAAACAGAGATGGCTTGGCCACCGGGAGCAGGGAGGAAGGACCATGCTAATTATGGGAAATAGGGCAGACAGAGAAAGAGCTTGTCCGCTCCATGCTGAGTTGGCCTTTGGCTCATTGGGAATCAGAAGTATGGCTGGCAGACTGCAACAAGGGCTCAGGGTGTCAGAACAGTAGCAGGGACTCCCACTTGCTGCTGGAGGTCACAGTGACATATCCTTCTCTTCCATGGCCCAGGTACCTTCCCACCCAGGAAACACCAGGCAAAACAAGCCACCATCATGATACAAATGGGGTACAGTACTCTCAGGAAAGGTCACTGTGCAGACATCAAAATATACTGCGAGTTCCCAAAGCCAGTCAGGCTCATGGCAGAAGGACCACCACACCAGCCAGCTCCTGGGGCTCTTACCTGACTGGAACACGTATCTGGCCAAGCCCTGCATTAGCTCTGCTGGCCATGTTGGAGGGGCAGACTCCCCTGTTTCTCTCTTCAGACGAAATGTTAACTCAAAGCCAAAGCCACTAGGTCCGTCTGTTCCTGTAAATCTGAAAGGAATAAAAAGCAAATGTTTTTAGTTCAACTACCTTAGGAAAAACACTGTTTTGAAAGTCTAATTAAATTTCTCCCCTATTTTTGATGGCCCAGCATCCAAACCCCTCATTAGAGGAATCTCTCAGGGTATGAGCCTTGAGGGGAGGAAGGATCTCGATAGCCTGCAGGGAACCAGAACTCCAGCCTCGCCCTCCTGCCAGCCACAGTATACATGTATGACCTTTGTCCAGCCAATCAAATTGCCCTGCTGGCACTCTGAATTATAAGTTCCACATTTTGTGGCTCTGGAACATTCTTTTCTGTGTAATTGAGGCTCCATTACTGAAAATCTTCCTTATTCATGCTCCTTATTCCTTCAAGCTACTAATAAGCACTTATTTAGTTTGCTAAGGATACACGTCCTGGTGTATGATCTGTGAGGACAAGACCGTTTCTCCACTCCCAGCTCCACTCTGCCCCACAAAGGTATAATCCTTGGGCTGAGCTGGCTGGCCCCCAAACTCGGCATTTGTGGATGGGTCCCAAGGCAGATTCCAAATACTGGGAGAGACCACGTTCTTCCTGAAACCTAGCACCCCACATGCACCCATCAATCAGTACACGCTCTTCCTGAAACCTGGCACCCAATGTGCACTTTCAGTCACTGGAACCTTGAGGAAGCACGGTTTGCCCTCCCTCCCCATCCCCAAGTGGCCCAGAATGATGAGGGTTACTGCCTCTGTGGCCATACTCATCATGGTGATGATGAGGCAGCAGAGGAATGCCTGCCTCCCTGACTGCTAGGAAACACTTAGGAGCCCTGAGTCTCCAGGGAAGTCCCTAAAATGGACTTCTGCCAGGGAGGAAAATGGTGCAGGTTAGAGAACAAGGCCTGATTTGGGAGGTGACACCTTCTTGGGTGAGGGAAGCATCCAGGGAGGAGTTCCTGAGAGCTACAGGAGGCTTATCAGCCTGGGAAGGGTTAAAAGTTAAATATGTTTATGATATAATTTTCAGTAATTATATCTTGTAAAAACATGAGCCACAATGATTATACACATGTAAACTCTTCAGCATACAAATACAAACCATGAACTAAGATGACAGCCAATACCTCCTTGCTAGCCAAGCTACCAGAACAGGCGGTCAGAGGGGAGAATACTAAACGGATGATGATGCAGTCAGTGCCCAACCCTGGAGTTCCACATGGAATTTTTCCATCATCCTCATCATCACTCCCAAGAAGGCAGGCCAGGAGACTGGATAGAAGGAGACTCCAGATTGTCAGAAGCTCTGACACCAGTCCTAGCCTTGCTTGTGTGCCTGGGGGAGCTCAGCCCTCAGCACTTGCTGCAGGGGGAGGTCACCTCTGATAAGCTAAGTTCTCTAAAGGACTGAAAAGGAATCCTTAAAATCATCATGGTCATACCCAATTATATTTAAAGGAGATGTCCATAGTTTGCATTTCCTCTGGGTATCTGGCAATGTGGGAAGCAGAATCCATTTTGAGGGTATACACCTAGAATTCTGGGAGAAGATGCTTGAAGAAGGACTAGCCAGGCTAGAAGAAGAGCTTGGCAGCACAAAGTGTAAGCTATTTTCTTTTCTTGTTGACCTGCCCTGTTTGGGGCAATTCTGTGCAGGGAGGCTGAGGTAGAATAGCTAAGCAAACTGAGGCTGGAGGAGCTGCCTCCCTGGGGCTGCAGGCTTGAGAGAGGTGTGAAAACCTGGGGAAATGCAAGACTGCCTCCGAGTTAAAACGCTACAAGAGGAGATGGGTCACTAGGGCAAAGGGAAGACTTCAGCAGCCACCAATTAGAGGCAGCTTTGTAAAATGTATTAGCCCCTTACCCCAGGGCTTTCATCTTGGGCCAAGAAAAATACACGATTTCTAACCGCAAAATACTTGAGAAACAGACTAAAAAAAACACGTTCCTCAGGCTGCACAATGGGGAGAACCCTTAGATGCAGAGAGAGAAATCATACACATCCAAGCAGCACCACCTCTCTAAGAGGGCTGTGTACACAGGCACACGCACGTATGGGTGTACATGCGCACACATGCACGTGTACCCCATCTGCCTCCACACGGGGTGCTTTCTGGGCCAGCTCTGCGGTGGGCAGGCCAGCCCTCACTTGGCTAGCTAGGAGGGACAGGCCTGGCCAGATGGTCTCCACCTGCGTTTGATTACCACCCACCAGGCTGGCTGGATGCAACATCTAAACTCTGAAACACGAGTTTGGAAAGGCCCAGCTTCAGGATAAACACACAACCTGGAGCCTGTCAGAAGGTCTCTTTTTCAAAGCAGACTGCCCACGCAATAGCCAAGTGACAAGGTCATTTAGTCTTTAAAGTCCCCTAGAGGGGCCTGGCTTGGTCTGGACTTCCTCACGTGAGGGCTTCTCCAGCCAAAGCAGTTTTGTCTGACCAGAGGACGAAGCCCCTCCTAGGGAGCGGCTGTCTCTCACATCCTCCAAGAAAGGAAAGCATGAGAGGAAACTGGCATGTGTTGCAGAAGGTGGGATCTGGGTCAGAGCAAAGAATTTTTCTAACACACAAGGCTGCTAAGATATTGGCTGGTGGTAAAGGGGGCCAGTGGAATTTCTTCCTAGAGGGATTTTTAAAGGAATACATTACAGATTCTCCCTAGTCTGGTAGGGAGAGGGTAGGGGTCCTAACTGTCTTGTTGCAGATGGATGGATGAGATAGCCTCTCAAGATTGTTTCCAGCTCAAGAACTTCCGATCCTGTTCACTGAGGTGCCCAGGGGAGAGGCTGGCTTTGTCTCAGCAGTTTGGTGAGCCTAGGGATGGCTGTGTCAGCCTCAAGAGTAACATCAAACCTGCCGACAGGAAGAGCACGTGCCTTGAATCTTAGACACAGTTGCCCGACCGCTGGAAGCTGCCCAAAAGTCTGCCCCAAAGCACCTAAGAAGGTACCAATCAGCCTCGAAGATGCCAAAATGACCACTAACTACAGGCAGAAGATGACTAGGAACCCAGAAGAGACTTTCTGGAGGAAACACAACAGCTGAAGTGGGCAGAAAGAGCTGACCTAAAAGTTGGCAACTCATGCTCAACATCATTAGTTATTAGGGAAATTCAAATCAAAACCTCAATGAGGTACCACTTCACACACTCTAGGATGACTAAAATTAAAGATAGACAATAACAAGTGTTGGCGAGGATGTGGAGAAACTGGAACACTCATACACTGCTGGTGAGAATGTAAAATAGTGGACCTGCTTTGTAAAACAGTTTGGCAGTTCCTCAAAAAGTTAAACATAGAGTTACCATATGACCCAATAGTTCCACTCCTAGGTATGTACCCAAGAGAAATGAAAACATATGTTCACACAAAAACTTGCACACGTGTTCATAGCAGCATTATTCATAATAGCCAAAAAGTGGAAGCAACCCAATGTCATCAATGGATGAATGGCTAAACAAAATGTAGTATATTCACACAACAGAATAAAAAGGAATGATGTACTGATACTTGCTACAACATAGATGAACCCTGAAAACATTATGCTAAGTGAATGAAGCCAGATACAAAAGGCCACATATTGTATGATTTCATTTATATGAAAAGTCTAGAATAAACAAATCCATAGAGACAGAAAGTAGATTAGTGGTTGCCAGAGGATATGGGGAGGAGCGAATGGGGAGTGACTGCTAATGGGTACAGTTTCTTTTTGGAGTGATGGAAATGTTCTGGAATTAAATAGTGATGATGGTTACACAACCTCACGAACATACTAAAAACCACTGAAGTGTACACTTTAAATGGGTGAATTTCATGGTATATGAATTATATCTTACAAAAAAAAAAAAAAGCTGGCATCTCAGGGTCCACCTAAATGCTAGGGGATGCAGGGCCAACCACACCAAGTAAGCCAGGTCCTTACCTGGCCCTACCTATTAAGAACCATTATGATTAACTGAATACCTACTAAATTTGAGGCCCTGGACTAAGCACTTTTCTTATGTCATAGCATTTAATTCTCCAACAACTCTATGACTCAGCCATTGTCATTCTCATTTAACTAAACATATCTGAAAATGACACTTGAGAGAGTTTAAGTAATATTCCATAAGTCACACAGCAAGCAAGCAATAGAGCTCGGACTTGTGGTCTGTCTGACTCCAAAGCCCATCTGCTTATTGCTGTGTGACCTCAGGCAAAATATTTAACCTCTTGGTGCCTCAGTTTCCTCATCTATAAAATGGGGATAATAACTGCAACAGTAACTATTTCAGAGTTGTTATGAGGATTAAATATTTAGAAACTGCCTGGAACTAGAATAGGTAAATCTATAGAGACAGAAAGTAGACTAGGGATTGCCTAAGGCTGGGAAACTGAGGACAAATGTGGAGTGACTGCTAATGCGGGTGGGACTTCTTTTTAGTGTGATGAAAAAGTTCCAAAATTAGATTATGATGATGGTTACACAACTCTGTGAATACACGCCAAACCACTAAATTGTACACTTTAAGTAGATGAACTGTATGGTATGTGAATTATATCTCAATAAAGCTGTTTTTAAAAACTGACGGAAGAAGGTGGCCCCCTGGCTTAGCGGTTAAGTGTGTGCGCCCTGCTACTGGTGGCCCCGGTTCGGATCCCAGGCACGCACGACGTACCACTTCTCTGTCCATGCTGAGGCTGCATCCCACATACAGCAATTAGAAGGATGTGCAACTATGACATACAACTATCTACTGGGGCTTTGGGGAGAAAAAGGGAAAAAAAAAAGGAGGAGGACTGGCAACAGATGTTAACACAGGGCCGGTCTTCCTCAGCAAAAAGAGGAGGCTTGGCATGGATGTTAGCTCAGGGCTGATCTTCCTCAAAAAAAGAAAAAATGGAGGGAAAAAAACCAAAGACTCAGTAGTAAAAAAAATTCAAACTGTAGTTACAGATGTATCTGCCTTAGGCATACAATAAGATGTTTAACCTCAATCATGATAAGAGAAATGCAACTTAAATACAAATTAAGACAACAGTGAGA